AAAACGATTTTCGTTTGCACTTCATTGCTAAAATGTAATACCTATTTTATATCATTCCTTATACCATACGAAAGCAAAGTCGCCTGGTCGTCAAAAATCGTAGTGTAGTTAAGGGTGTTTTTCCAAAAAATAGCAATATTTTTTTTGCTTAATTTGCATCTCCACAACATTTTTATTCATCTGCAAAAGTTTTGTTTCAAAATTCCAAGAGAAAGTATTTTATTTTTAATTTTAAATTATCTGCCCAACACGCTCTTATATGGAGTTCCTTAATATAAAACGGTTCGCGCTGGAACATCAAAAATGCAATATCATTTACACTGTGAAAACACAAGAAAGAAAATTCTAATCAAAAAACACTTTCTATAAACGTTGTAGAGAAAGATCAAGGATTAAAATACTTCTTAGAAAATAAAAATCTAATAAATAGTTTCGTCAAAAAACTGTAAAATGTAAAAGCATGTCGTGACAACCGCGCTCTGATGCGGAGCTGCGGAGATGGATGAAATTCGCTAGGCAGGGGTTGTATCTGTATATAAAGCCGCCCGTATGTGTTTTCGAGTCTAAATGTTTGCTTTTCGTTTAAAACAGTAGAAGGTACCTACCATGGAGGAAGGATAATTAGAGAGTACATGTGTGCTCCATTACTATTACAGCATATTTCAACTGAGTAAAGCGTTGATGTTTTTGTGGTTTAACATATTGTGTTGTTATTTTACATTATTGTGATTCTCAACTTTTAGTTACAATAAGTATCCCTGTTAACTGTTTTACAGAATTATTCGAACATTATAATATTTAAGGTGCTTTGCATTTTATTAATGAATACAGGTGCATATGCTATTTGTAATGCACAGTAGTAATAATGCCTAGGAATAGGCATATAAAAAATGTGTTTTCCAAAAGCGATGATCGCCTTTTAGTTATCTCAACTAATGAAGTTGCATCTGATACTGCCTAAACTTCTTTATTAAATGTGAATGAAATTGGCGAACAAGCTTTAAGAAATTTTTTAAAAGGAGTTGGTACTCCTGACTTTTATAAACCAATTAAAAACATATTCTTCAAACACTATAGCGCACTGGCGTTAAAGTAGCTGCCGTTGATAAAAAAAAAAACTTTCCAAAAAGGTCAAGAATTTCTGCAGAAAATATTGGCAGCAAAAAATGGAAAGAAATATTAAATATGAAGATATTTTTAAACATGAATTGACGACTTATCCAATTTCAGTGGAACCTACGGGAATATTATCTACCCCTTCAAACAAGTAATAATAATAATAAATGGTCTTTATTCATCATAGTTACACATTTACAATAACAAAAAAAAAAAGAAGGAAAGTGATGAAAAGGCGAAGTTCAGCACAAGGCTGTTTTTCAACTTAACCTGCAACGCAAATAAATACATTCTATTTCATACACAAAATGAATATTGATGAAAACAGCTTAAATTATATATACAAAAATTATTTTTCAAGAGAGTAAACCTATTTCTTGACAGTTCATGTTTTCGTTTTATAATGCAGATTGATTAGCTTAAAATTAAGAATACTGTAGGATCTATATTCCGCCGTTATATCATTATATTTTTTACTAGCAACGTACGAGAATGATCTTTTGAATAATGTGGTACTATGCATGGGTACTACTAATGTAGTTCTGTTTCTAGTGGGATAGTTATTAATATTGGAAAAAGAAGTTAATTTTGTGAAAAGGTATTCCGGTTTCCGTAATTTTAAAACTTTGTGAACTAATACCAGCAAGTGTAACGACCGGTAGTTAGACAGTGTTAGCCAACCTGACTCCTTCATTTTATGTGAAATATGTTCGAATTTTCGGTTACCATAAGCAAACCGTAAACAGCTGTTTTGAATTTTTTGTAAACGCAAAGAATCAGATTGTAGTAATGCTGGACCGTACACAGTGTCGCTGTAAAAAAGTTTAGAAAAAATTAATGATTCACAAAGTTTTATTTTTATTTTCGTGGAGAGCAAATCTCGATTAGGATATATCAACCTCAACACATTGTAACAGTTTTGGGATAACATATTAACGTGCTTGCTAAATCGCAAATTAGAATCTAGCCACAAACCTAAATTCTTTCCTTCGTTGGTAAATAAAAGAGGAATATCGCCTATTTTAATTTCCAATTGTTGTAAAGCTCTTTCACGTGCTTTTTTTGGACCAAATAAAATGGCAATAGATTTACTAGGATTCAATTTTAAATTGTGTGCCGCAGAAATGTTAAATAAACTTTTGAGGTCATTATTAAAATTAGATTGAAAAGAAACCAATGAGTCAATATTACAAGATAAATAGATCTGTGTGTCGTCCGCGTAATGGTGTACTGAGCAGTTTTTAACGAAACTATGAAAATCCGCTATGTATAGGGAGAAAAGAGTTGGTCCTAAAATGGTTCCTTGAGGTACCCCTTTTGTTACAGGTAAGGCATTTGATGTTTCATGATCTAATTTAACTTTGTGAGTTCTATTGTTAAGGTAGTTTGAAAGCAAGGCAACAGCTTCTAAGGAAAAACCGTAGTGGCTAAGTTTATTACATAATATTTTATGATCAATAGTATCAAATGCCTTACTGTAATCCAACATAACCAAACATGTAATTTTGCCCTGATCAGTTGCATGGAATAAGTCATCAGTAATGGATGCAAGGGCGGTGGTAGTGCTGTGTTGTCTCCTGAAACCCGACTGAGCGGAATTTATTATTTCTTTTTCATGGGCGTATTCAGTTATTTGATCTTTGAGTATTTTCTCAAAGCATTTGGAAAGGGTAGGTAAAATACTAATTGGTCGGAGATCAGAAAGGTTTGACGGTTCAGTACATTTGGCTAGTGGGAGTATTATAGCGTGTTTCCATGCATTAGGATATTTTGATGTTGAGATTATCTTATTAAAAATAAAGGTTAAATAATTTAGTAAATGATCTTCGACTAAATGTAGCATGCGCAAAGAAATGTCATCAAGACCGACAGCGTTACTTTTTATGTGATGAAGGGATTTTCTTACTGATTCAGCAGTAACATTTTTGAAATTAAATTGTGAATTAAATTTTTGCTGTGTGTAGCAATCTAATAGACGTAATTGATTAGGAGTTTTATCAATATTAGGCAAACTATTAAAGTGTAAATTTATGTCATCGACTTGTTTTAAATTAGGAGGAATATCTGGATTCGATTTTTTTCTGAGAATTCCAAGGGATCGGAGGGTATTCCAAGTACTTTTTGAATTTTTATGTTTAAGTATGAAATCAAGGTAGGCTTTTTTTTCTCGCCGAATAGCTCCAGTTGTGTAATTTCTCAACTGGGTATAATAGTTCCAGCTACTCACAGTTTTTTCTTTTTTATATCTGCTTAATGCAGAATCTCTTAGGCTGATCATTTTTTTTAATATTGTATGTGAGCCACGGGGCATGAGGTTTACTTACTCCTTTAGTAACTCTTGGAGCGTGGTCGCAGAAAATTTTATTAAGGGAATGGTTTAAAAATGTAATGATTTCATCGACATTATCAAGGGAAAAAATACTATTCCAGTTAATATTCAGCAAATCAAAATTAAAGTGATCTAAGTCAAATTTTGAAAAATCACGATATGTTATATATTTCATTTTATTGTGAATTTTGTATGAATCAATATTACAAGAAACTGCGTGATGGTACGAGATCCCACGGTTTCGTATATCAAGTACCTTGACCGATGAAATCTCTTGAGTATCAGACACAAAGATGATGTCAATGAGTGTTTTACTATGTGGGGTAAAATGAGTTGGCTCATTAATTATTTGCTCCAGCCCGAAAGTGTTTAAAAAATTTATACATAATTCACAACTCCGATTTTGTGTAAGGAAATCTATGTTTATATCACCCGATACGAGCAAGAAATCACTCTCAGGAAGTAAATTTGCAACGGTGTCTTCCAATTCACTAATAAAATTACTAACTGATGAAGCGGGTGGGCGATAAACAACACCAAAAATGTAAGTTTTTCCACTACACTTGGTGGATATCCATATTTGCTCAAGATTAACTGTAATTTGAGAAAAAATTAGTTTATATTGAATGTTAGTATTTATGTAGAAAGCAACACCTCCACCCCTACCATCTCTATCTGCCCTAACCAGTCGATATGAATTGATAAATATATTACTAGAATCCATTTCAGGATTTAACCATGTTTCGCTTATGCCGAAAATGTCAATTTTACTTTTATTCAAGTACTCAACCAAGCGACCGTAAACGGGGAAGATAGATCCTACATTTAAATGCGAAAAGCTAATACTTCGTTTCATAATATAGGCAAAAAATATCTATAAAATTAAATGCACAAAAAAAACAGTAAAAGAAGGAAAAAAAAAAACGTTAATTAGATAAACAATAGATTGTGAATTGAAACAATTTAAATGTACATAAATCCAAGAAAATATTATAAAAGGTTTATATTTAGAAATTACAAAAATATTATTAACCAAGTAGTTTAGTTCCTCTGGTTACTCTTTTTGTATTTTCTTCAACTATCTCCTTTGAAAACATTATAGAAAAATTTACTAGAAGTTGCAAAGATTTACCATCGAGAAATTGTGGTAAAATTTGCCACGAATTCGATGGAATGGCATTAATACAGGTACTTGGCAAACCTACTAACGCCAAATTGTTTGGAGAATATGCAAACATCTTAAAGGCCCATTGTATTTAAGAACAAATACAATGCCGAAAGAATTGATTTTGTCTTGGACCATTACGAAGATTTGTCGATAAAGAATTGCACAAGAGAGAAGAGGGGACATAAAAATGACGCCATAGAGAGAGCCATTGAAAGCTCAGACACATTATTGCCTCAACAGTGGCATTTATGTATCCATTCGATTGCTAATAAAATGCAACTTGCTAACTTCGTGGGTAATCAGTTGTATTAATATTCTCTTAATTTCGGAGTTAAATTTGTCACCAGGGGGGATTTCTTGATGTTCTGCAGTAAAAAGCAAACTATGATTTAGAAACTGACTTATTAATTGCGAAAAACAAAGAGGCAGACACAAGGACTATATTACATATATTGCCTGCTAAAATGGAAGGATTTTTTGTTACTATTGGCCCATTTCAAAGATATATTGACGCCGGAAACTTGGATAAAAGTTGGAAGCAAAGAAACGAAAGATTTACAGCAATCCATGAATTGAAAATGGATAGTTCAATGGCAAAATGTCTACCAACGTTTCATCCACTGACAGATTATGATACAACCAGTCAGTTTGCAGGAATAGGCAAAAAAACATGCTGGAAAGTGTTTTTATCACACCACAATCTACTTAGTTATGTTAGCATAAATGACAATTTAGAAGAAGATTTTAATAAAATGGTTAAGTTTGTAATGCGATTTTATACAAATAACTAAAGTACTCATTGAGTGATTTTAGCATCCTCAAAGCCGATCAGCAAATTACCTCCAACTTTAGATTCTTTAAAACAGCATTGTCTTCGTGTATATCGTGTATACTACCAGACTAAAATATGGCTGAACAGTACGATACCCAGACCATCTTTACCAGATGTATCAGAGTGTGGCTGGAAAATTGGTAATGGAAAACTGGTACCAATTTTAAGTACAGAATCAATACTACCTGAGGACACTTTAAATACTTGCAATTGTAAAAAAAGTAAATTATTTATTATTATTACAAGTATATTATTAATTTTAAATATTTTTTTATAGATTGCAATGTTCCTGCAAGAAAAAACAAATTTGTTGCATTGGGTCCTGCAATTGTACGGCTCAAATTACATGTGCAAATAAAGTAAAGAAAGACCTAAAAAACATAAAAGCATATGTTATCTGATAGTGAAGAAAATTCCGAGTCTGACTAAATGCTGTAAGCTAATCTTATGAGAATATTAATAAATTATTTATTTATTCACAGAAATAGAAGATTCTACTACGGAACACCGACTCCAGCACCTATAATATGTCTAGTTACACGTTATTAACAAATTCTTTATTAAAAAGGTTAAATGTTAATTATAAAAAAAAAATATTAGGTAAAGTGTCCTATCCTCCGACTATTTTAATGCGAATTTTACCAGAAATACATAAATTATTGTTACCAGCAATAATTATTAATAAAGAGATTTTTAAAATGATTATATTTGTGTTGTGTAAATATCTAACTGTTATGAATTTATTTAATAACACTTTTAAAAAATATATTTAAAAATACTCAAAATACATAAACTACAAAACCACTATAATATTCTTATGATGTATCTTTGATTATCACAACATTACGCCTCGCTATAGTAACAATATAGGTACCTTTTGCTGTTTTAAACAAAAAGCCAGGCTCAAAAATGCATACAGCAGACTGTCTGTACCGTGTAGATACAACAGCGTGCCAAGGAAATTTCAACCATCCCCGCATCTCCACGCCAGAGTGCGGTCGTCAGGACATGCTTTTACAATTTATAGTTTTTTGACGAAACTATTTATTAGATTTTTAATTTCTAAAAAGTATTTTAATCCTTGATATTTGCTCTACAACGTTAATAAAAAGTATTTTTTGAGTAGAATTTTCATTCTTGAGTTTTCACGGTGTAAATGATATTGCAATTTTGATGTTTCAGCACGAGTCGTTTTATAAAGGAACTCCAATAAGAGCGTGTAAGGCAGATAATTTGAAATTAAAAATAAAATACTTTCTCTTGGAATCTTGAAACAAAACTTTTGCATATGATAAAAAATGTTGTGTAGATGTAAATTAAGCAAAAAAAATATATTGCTATTTTTTTTTGGAAAACCACACCTAACTACCCCCTGCACACTACGATTTTTTGACGACCAGGCGATTTTGCTTTCTTATGGTGTAATAAATTATATAAAATAGGTATTACATTTTAGCAATGAAGTGCAAACGGAATGACACAATAGAATCATTTTTAAACTCTACTATTAGTGGGTCGTAGAAAAAATATACTGTACAACTCGAGTGGATTGTCCACATCGCACTACGGCGTCGTGCCCAAATTTCGTCTTCGTGCGGTATGACCCACAAACTACTTCCTCAAGGAATTGTTTACACAATAGAAAGCTTTGAAATTTAAGGCAAGTTTATATTAAATATTTTTAAAATGCTTTTTTGAACGTTAATTTTAAAATTTTTCTTATTCAATAAATTCAATTTTGATTTATAAATTTTATGCTGCCATACCTTTTCGCTATGTTGTTATTTATTTTGTGTTACATTACAACATTTCTTTCTTATTCAATGTTGTTTTTTTTTTTCAGTATTTACTATTACAATATATTGAGAGATTAAATTGTCATATTTCAGTTCTTTATTCTGTTATGAAAAACAGTTAATTAATTACGATCTTCGATATGAATTGTTCTGTATTTATAATCACATAATCTTAGTATGTATATTTTAGGGGTAAAACCCTTTATTGTTGATCTTCCACAATCTATCCACGTTCTTAATCAACATAGCTGTTTATCATGTTTTTGAGCACGTAAGAGCACCAAAGAACAATTTTAGAAAATCATTTCGTATGTTTGCGGATATTTTAATATTCATGATCCAGAGTTATATTCCTTATTCGCCGAGAACTTTGTATATCTTCCCCATAAACTTTATTAACATTACCAGAATTACTGCCGTTGTCGACATTACTGAGGTAATAAGGAGAAACAATCCTACTAATAAGGGAAACATCGTCTAGATAATCTTGTTGAGATGTAACCCCTAACATTCTGAGAAGTGTTTGCAGAGATAATCTTGGAAAATAACGAAAACTATAAACATATGAAAAAAATTAGAGAACTTATTATATTTCCGATATTCGATTAGATTTTTATATATTATAAAATTATTTATAGATACTTATGTTGCGAGTAGAATTAGAAACTGTATAGACGAATAGCAAAAAAGACAAGACCGTAAAGTTAAATTATGTACCTACAAGTTGCATACGAAGCTCGCCTGCTAAAATTGCCTCATTATTAAAAAAAGTCTATTTATTTTAAATTTTACCTTGTAACTACACATCTGTAGCCAATATTTATTACCAGTATAGTAAAAAGTTATATCATTAAAGTAAACATATCCAGGATGTCTCTAAAAGAGAAAGTTCTACAAAACTACTTATAACATTTCTACTAGTTCCTACACACGTGACTTTTTCCAATGCCTACTTTAGAAACATTTTTTATTGATCACTCCATAATAAATAGTTATTATAGATATGCAAGTTTCTTTAATACTGGGAACTAAAACAAGTTGTTTTTAATTATTGTGCACTTAGAACGCGATTTTATACAGTACTTATACTTGGCAATTTCTCAAAACGCACATTTTTAACTATCATGTATAAAGATCCAAGTGATCACTTCGAAAAACCAGAACAAACTTAGCTCTACACTTCTATTCTCTACATATATGACTATGGCTGCTTTAGCTATATCTATCGTACTATAATAAGTAGCTGAATATATATATAGTTCATGAAGGTGAGAAAGGATAAACCTTACTCTTCTTTTTAGTTCAGTTAATAATAAGGTACGGGAAAGAAACAATATCGCTTTTATGTTTCGCATTATTTTTTTTCTACGTAATTTAGGTCGTAAACAATATACCGTGTGTTCAAATAAAAGTGTTACAGTTAAATAATGTCGAAAATATGCATTTTATAAAAAAAAGTTTTAGACAAAAGTTTTATAGAGTTTTGGGGGAAATATTTTGGCGAAATTCATTTTTTTATAGCTGACCATAATATGGCCGTATCGAGGTGGACTTTTTTATTTCAAATTGAAACCCCATATTTTTTTACATATTCTTAAAGTTCATAAAAAAATAAGAAACTTTTTAGGAAAATATTTTTTTTATTTGACTTTTACTTAATAATACCTACTTGAAAATTTTGCTGCGCGAAAAAAAAGTTGACCATATAGTTAGTTATAAAAAAGATTTTACCCAAAATGTTTACACCAAAAAAATATAAAACTTCCGTCTCAAACGTTTTTTTATAAAAGGCGGTATTTAACTGTAACACTTTAATTTGAACATCCGGTATAATATCGTGAACTATTTGTGTGAATAAATTATTTTTTCAAGGAGACAATAAGAAACTCTAAATGTAAGACCACATGTCCCGTAAAAAGCAGTTGGTGTTGTCTGGTTTTGGATGGATATTTTGTAAATAGTGTAATCTAAGAACATTTTACCATATACAGTACGACAAGATTGATATATATTTATCGTCATCTTTAAATATTAATACAACGGCAACATAACACGTCAAGCTGCATCTATCCTTCTCAGGCTGCTCTCCTTCTATGTTCTGCACATTTCATTTGCCATCTCAAATTTGTCGTACTGTATATATACGGAAATCTAAACGTGGACCCTCTACAATGAATTGGACAAGGTATAATACAACATGCGTGAAACAAACAAAGGGTGCTAAGTAGCGTGGCTTGCCTGGCGCACGGTACGTACGACTTCCACCTCACTCCCACTTGCACTCGCCTCTAATAAATTTGGCTTAGATAATTGGCGTTTAAATTTGGGTACCTGTATTATAGCTTTTATTTCCTGAATTTAATTTTTGTTGTCATAGAAAAAGTAGCCATAGAATAAAACTCGCGAAGTAAAACAACAAAAAAATAACTATTTATATTGTATGTACTGGTATATTGCATACATTTAAATAATACGCGATACTTCATTTGAACTTTAAGAAACAGTAGGAATATTCGCAAAAAAGAAGGTTACTAATGCTTTATAATTTAAATTGGAAATAAATACTTTTTCGAGTTTGTCCATTTTTAATCCATTTTAAACATTGTTTTGATTAAAGAGTCATTTCTATGGCTTATTAAAAATCAATCACAAATGTACGTAAAAATATTATGAATTTATAAACAGAGATGGCCTTATAATATTATTAAAGCCCTTTTCGAATCATACTTAAATTTTGTAATAAAAAAATTGCAAAACGAAAAAAAAATTCGCTCATTAATCTTCGATTGGATATTCTCAAATATTTTTGAGACGCACTCAATACAAAGTCCAGTTCCTTGGTTAATACATACACGGAGTGACATTTAAAAAAAAATACAATATGCATATAGCATAAGCTAAAGATGATATCCGTTTCTAGGACAAGAAGGGGAAACTTAAATGACGAAATAGATAACTTACTCCGTCCCATCAGGCCCTAAACGCCATTTTAAGTTTTCAAACTGTCACAGAGGTGCTAAAAACTAACTTATTTATCAAAAAACTGCAATATTGACCGTTAGCGGAAGTAATACAGAAACCTCAGAAAAACTTCAGGAAAACGGCAACAGAAACAATCGATGGACAAAAAAGTGGAAAATAAAAATAAAACTAAATCAGTGCATGTTGATTTTACTCTTCGACCAAATGAATAAAAACAAATAAGAATAAACAACGTTATTACGCTTCACGATTCGGCCAAATATCTAGGGATGAACCTAGATGTAAGACTTAAATGGAAAGAGCACATAAAAAAGCATAAAGAACTTGAACTTAAATTTAAAAAAATGTATTGGCTCCTAAAAAGTAAATCAAAATACTATATTTAGATACTTAGATATTTAGATACTATAATGTACCTAAGTCTAGGATGCCTAAAAAAACTGCTAGGTAAATATCCTACAATAAAACAAGAGAAAAGTTTTAATTTTGAAATCGTTCTCAAAACAAACAATAAAAAACTGAAAATGCAGACAATATTGGAGATGATTAAGAAATGAGTCAATTTAACAGATTAAATACATTCATAATAAAATAATAATTGAAACTGTATAGGATAGGCTGACCTCTATATAACTAAAATATACGTGTAGTTAATATTAGTAACTCAATCAATCAGTCGTTTCACTTCATAGAAAGAGAAATCACATTTTATCAAGGATGATATTATATTCTTCTTCAAGGTCAAATAGTAATGCTATCAAAACGCATCGCTCAATATATTTCATCTCACTTTAAAACAAAGAATTTATAAAACCGTTTCAATCTACTGACTGGTAATAGCCAATACGAGCATTTAGTGGGCGTCATAGGTCGGGGAAGATCATATCACTGGATGTCATTTGAACTAACACAGTGCGATTTAAAAAGTGAAGATAATTTAATTATCTAACATATTTAATATATATAGACGATAAGTTCACAACTTTTACACATATTATTTATTATTATTAATATTAATACATAGTTTTATTAGCAGGTAATTTACATTATATGTTTACAGTTTAGAAAGACCAAGTGTTCAAGAAAAGAATAATCTTACCAGAATATGTGGCAAAAAAGTTGAACAGACTTGGACAAGACACAATTGGGTGGATGATATGGAATAAAGAGAGCTTAATATACCAATACCATCGACAGAAGTAGGATACATACATAATATATTTTTTATATATTTTAAGATAACTTAAAAACAAAAGCTGTGAATGTCTGTTAATCCTTTGGAAAAGAAAATAGAAAGTTATTCTGAGTTCATAGAATCCGAGCCATTACTCGGCATTTTACAGGACACTGTCTAAAGAACTCAAACTGGACACAGGACAAAAAATATGTACTGGAGAGATATCCAGGGCTAATTCATTCAAAGAAGTTCATGAACATCATAATGTCGATTCTAGACTACATATCTTTATATTTACCGGACTGGAGCTTACCTACTTCAAACAAGTCTTACCTACCTCAACCATGGCTTTCATCATCAGAAAATGAGGTTTGGGTAAACCAGAATTTAAGCAGGAGCCAAAATAGATCCATATATATCGCAGTGAAAGGTAATGTATCCAAACATTTTTAACATAATTTATTCTTGGGGGAAGAAAGACAAAAAGTTAATTGAGAATTTGCTTCGTGTAAGTAAGAATTAAGATCAAATGCGAAATAACTTTTTGATTGGTAGAAGCTTGTTATGTGGTTTATTTTATAGATATGTTATTGCCGCGTTTGAGAATCCACATCGGATGCATTTTTACATCGGACACATCTACTACATCTACATCTGCGTTTGTTTAGCCCAGATGTACCTGTTCAGATTACATTTTTTACATCTCGATTTGAAATGAGATGTTCGTTCCATGCCAGAAAGTAAGTGTTCTGTGAAGCCAAGTTTGTCAATTTATCCTTTGTTTATGCTATCATGAATATAAAAGTGATTAGTTTGTTTAATTTTTGTTTAGATTTCAAATTTAGATTGATGATTTGTAGTCTCAAAAGTCAATTTTAAAAGGTATAAACTTCTAACTTGTCATTGACATTTTATCACTTGACCAAATAAAGTCTAGAGCGTTTGTTTATTACATCTACATTCAGATCTAATTCTCCATCACGTGATAAAAAATTCACAACATCTCAGATGCATTCGATGTGGATTCTCAAACGCGGCATATGTATCTAGACATGAACAGACTTTAGCAATTGGCTTGTGCCTAGTTTCTGAAAATGTTGTGTGGAAGGTTTTATTTGGACATCATTTATATCTACTTGTAATAAGTTAGTTATACAAGCTTTTACGTAGATGAATGAGTTGTGCCTAATCCACTGGCGGCTAAAGCCGACGCTGAACAAGACCATCACATCAATAAAATATTCCATTTCAATTCCAAACAACACCCGCGATAACCACTCACACAAATCGTAATTCATTTTTCCATCTACAGAAAGAACTTAATTATTTTTTTTATTGATTTCCATCTGATCGAGCGAGTACCTTCTCTTCCTACTCTAATTAGCATAAAAGTTCAATTAGTAGAATGACAGCTTAGCTGACTCACGCTCAATGGAACAAATGGCGCTAATTGCAGCCGCTACTCTATAAAACTACGTCAATTATTGATAACTCGTTGTAAAGAACAATAGATCGTAGCGCCATCTACTTGAAATCTCAATGGAGGACGGAAGGCGTTTCGTAATTTCGTCCGTTGAGAGATGATCGTTTTATTGCATTCGATTTTCGGTAATAAATATAAATGGTGCTTGCGATATTTTTAGAAGAAAACAGAAGACAAAATTTGACGATATAAAGGTTACAGCACTTTTATATAGTAAGTACACTACGTCACAAACAATTCTGGATATCTATTTTTAAATCTGAGGAAGTAGAAATTTTGAGGGAAGAATGAGACAAAAATTTAAATTTTGTGCGTTACAGATAAAGAGAAAAAAACCGGTTTTCTGTTCCCTCGAATTCAAGAATAGCTGCCCTGTTTGGATTAAATCAGGTAAGTGAGAAGAGATGGTTCTTGCAATCTGCTGACATTGAATTTTTACAGTTTTAGCTTTTAAAATGTAAAAAATAATTGATGGATTGTTTGGCGGATGATTTAAAGAAAGAGAATGACAAAAAGAACGTCAGATGTACCTTACTATGAGAAACGCGAAAAAGCAGTGCAGTAAGAGTAGGGATCAATACGTTTCAATCCAGAAGAATAGATATACAGAGTGATTCATAACTATTGGAACATATGCCAAGGGCAGGTTATTTGGACCAAAATATGGAGATAGGACCAAATATACCTTTATAAAATATTGCCGTTTAATAAGATACAGAGCGTTAAAGTTATTTTTTTTAATTTTTTTCTGATAATATTACTGTATATTTATGAATTGTTATCAAAATCGGAACAGAGGCATAGCTTTGGATAAGGACTATTATTTTATGTATTATTTTACATTTTGTGAATGATTCCTAAAGATAAAATTAAGTGGTAGCTTTTTCTGAGTACAGTTTTTAGTGTTTTTGTTTAGAATATATGACGTAAACATCATTTCTACGTAATACTGGTACACGATAATTTCACCCGTTTTTAAGAAAAACGCAATTGAACAGTTCAAAATCTCAGAAGGGGATTTAAAAAAATATTATTTAATTTATGAAAAGTGTGCTTTGGAATGTCAGATAATTGTGTCTGGTAAATGTCATTTCTTGTCAATAAATTATGTTTGCTGTGAAATTATAATCTATTGCACAACTTCAACACCCTGTATCTTAGTTAAAAGCAATATTTTACTACGGTATATTTGATTCTGTCGCCATATTTTGGTCCAATAGTTATGAATCACCCTGTATTTTATAAAATAAGTAACTTAGAACAAAAAAGAGATTAGATTTTTTAAATGATTTATAGAAAAAAAAGGGTTAAAAATAAATTAAAATGCTTGAAAAGAGCATAGGTTTAACGTTTGTATATATATGTTTTCTACACCCGCACATGGATATTAGCGATTCTACGCACAGAATATAACACGAAAAAGTATGCCATTGCGTTTAACTGAACGAATATATTTCATATCCATTCTACTAGTAAGAACACGGAAAAAATGAAATAACGGTTCATATTTTGGTCACCAGACTACTATTATTTTTTAAATTTTAAATAAATGTCAATTCTGTCAAACTAATTGTTAGTATATTTTTTAGATACTGAGATTAAATATATACTTTAAAATAAATTATTTTTGTGTCGAATCGATAAATAATAGCATTTCTATTATTATTTCGTCTATATTTAAAAATAACCAAACATTTTAATAAAACTATATGAAATTAATTTAATTACGAGTATTTAAACTAAAATATTATGTGTGTCGATGCAGCAGTGACTAGGTCAATTGTTTTTCACGCAGAGGTTCCGGGTTCAATTCTATGACTGGAGACTAAATTTAATTTAATTTTTTTTCAAGTTTATTTTATTATATAAATAATTAAAAGAAATAAATTATTTTTAAAATAAATTATTTTATTTTAATAACCTAAAATAATTTTTCAAATTTTTTGATTTTCGTTAGTAGGTCGTAGAATCAATATATTCTACAAGTACACTCTTGTTGCAGAAACTACTATTTTATTTTTACAAAGTATGTATGGCTTTTAAATTAAAAACATGGTTCTACTGTTTCAATTTTAAGATACATTCAAGGTAAGCTTTGTGTAAGTTTGAATAGTCGATATAGTTAATTAAAATTTGAACAAAATTTATTAAAATAAAAGTTATGCATATAAAATAAAAAAATTATAAAAAAAAAATTTATGCGATTTTTCATTAAAATAAAATTAAAAACTCTCTAATACAGCCGTGCAATTTTTCAACGTCGCTGAAAGGCTATGAATTTTTTTGACTGATTTATCCATACCGACTATTTCAAATATCGAGAGCAAATATTTGCTATGGGAATTATACGGGTGGTATTCGATGGTTTATTAGCCAGTCCTCTTTTAACGCATACCAAAAGTTCAATGAAAAAATCCCCCTCTCATAGAACTTGTCGGCAGAACCGCCGAAATTGCATTCGTGTGCTTGTAGCTCTGATGCTTTGAAGTCAAATTTTACGATCTAAAACGAAATATGCTTTGGCTAAAAACCACCAAGTGCATCGTTAGAGCGACGCATAGTTTGTTCGGATACAATGAAGTTATTGTAGATATTGAAGTTGCAAATCCGGTTACCACCGCATCGCCGCCGCGTATGAGTCTAACTCCGCTAACTCGCGCAGAAATTCAACTTCGGCGAAGTTAAAGCCCGCCGAGCAGGCTGGGAGTTGCCTTTGCTAACAGTAGCGGTCCTATCCCTTTACGCGAACGGGGACCATCAGACCCATGTCACAGATTATATAGTTTGATAAGAAAAACAATTTAAATCGCACATAACCAACTAAAAGTATACGGTCACGAGAACCAAACCAAACGTCCAGTAACAGCGCTGTTATTCGCCTCTTCATAACGTTTTACAAAATTAATGTATCTGAAAGTTAAATTTTAGCCTCAAGGGTATTCCTATTTTCCGATTTCAAATTTTATACATGCATAGATTTGTAGAGTTCTAAAACCAGTATATTTTAGCAAGTTTAATTCCCGAAGACATTCTTCGACTTCTTGTCTTAATGTGGACTAAAAACTCAATCACTGAAACAAGAAACATAGTAACCACTATCCTATGCTCTTTTCAATAATTCCTTTAGACCAGCGGTTCTTAATCTTTTTGATTAGTGGAATTTTTTTAAATTGATATTCACGGAACCCCCAGTGTTCCGCCGAATACAGTTTATGAAATGCTGATTTAGAGTAGCTTCCAAGATATGATCTGACACAATATTGTTTTATACATTGTCATCATCACTGGCAAAAAATTAAATATCCTATTTAGAAAGGGAACTATTTATCCACATCTAAGCTCCTGGAGTTGTATAAGAATCAAATAAGACAATGTCAAATACTCTTGACACCTTTGATGAGCCTCAGTAGCTTTAAAACTTTCCATTATTTTGATGATATTTAGAGACTATCCGGCTAATTACAACTCTATAAATGAATAAAGTTAGGACACGCACACTTTTTAAT